TGGGATGGGGGGGGCGTCTCAATGAGCGGTTTTGTCCTTATGCGAAGCTCCGTAAGTGTTCGAGGGAGAACAGTCCCCGAGGGGCTCTTTCCGCTGCCCAGTTTTGCCGATTCCTTGTGGGAAAGCCCCGTCGGTCACGGCCGAGGGTGCTGAAGGTCCGAGAGAGCGCAGGAGGCCGGGCTGCCCCTGCCTGCATTCTTGTGGCACGTCCCACGTTGCTCCCTTCCCTCAAAGTCACAGCTTAACGAATTTTTAGATCATTAAGCTACAGTTTAGTGAAGCAATAATATTCACGTCAACTGTATTACTTCCATCAGGGGTCCTCATGTATTCTCTCTATATCTGGAAAGCTGTGGTTTAAAATGATTGGTTTATACAGCTGGAAAAAATTGACAAGGGTGGAGCTACATCACCTTTCAAATTCTTTAACAACTATGTACTTTAGATTATGTACCTTTTTGGCCTGTGACCTTTCTAAAGGGGCAATGTGAACCATAACAACAAAGAATCAGCCTTTTGTTTCTTTGGAGAGATTACATTACACATAAAATCCCATGTATTTTGCTGCTTCTTAGCTGTAGTGTCGTGATGAAGTCATGAAATGAGATGCCAAAAAAAAGCAAACCAAGAAAACCCTGTAATGCGCAGCATGAATACTAGGACACCTTTAGAGTTCCTATGTTGGCCTCTCACCTTTCGAATTTTAAAGTTGCTTTTTTCATAAGCAGTTTGATCATAGAATCATAGAATGACTTGGGTTGGAAGGGACCTTAGAGATCATGTAATCCAATCTCCCTGTCATGGGGCAGGGCTGCCTCTCAACTAGATCAGGTTACTCAAGGCCTCATCCAACCTGGCCTTTAACCTCAAGGGAGGGGGCATCCACAGCTTCTCTGGACAGTTTATTCCAGAGTCTTGCCACCCTCGTACTGAAGAATTGTTTCTTAAGATCCAATAAAAATCTCTTTTCCTTTAACTCAAATCCATTTCCCATTGTCCTATTGGTGGACACTTTTGTAAAAAGTCCCTTCCCTCCCTCTTGATGTAATTATAGAATCCCAGAATGACTGAAGAGTTTGAGTTGGAAGGGACCTTAAAGATCATCTAGTTCCAACCCCCCTGCCATGGGCAGGGACACCTCCCACTAGACCAGGTTGCCCAAAGCCCTGTCCAACCCAGCCCTGACGACTTGCAGGGATGGAGCAGCGCTTCCACGGAGAGAGAAGACATACACCTCCTCTGTGGGCAGCCTCTTTTACTGTCTCACCACCCTCACAGTAAATAACTTCTTCCTAATGTCTAACCTAAAACTACTGTGCTACAGCGTAAAACCATTTCCTGTCGGCACTACACACCCTTGTGAACAGCTCCTCCCCAGCTTCCCTGCAGGTCCCCTTCAGGTACTGGGGTGTATCCCCACACAGTCAAGGGCCAGCAATTCCTCCTTTGGTAACTGTTGAATCACTTTCCAATCAGAAATAAATCCATGCCTCTGAATCAGCAGTGGGTGCTTCAAATGCTTCAAAACAACTCAGGAGCCATCATAGGAAAGCACCAACAGTCATCCAAGTATTGTGACAGTCTTTCACAAAACTATCGCCCACACATATAGAAACTAGAAATTCTTTCTCTCCAGCTTAGTTTTCTTTATGGATTTTACCACACCAAAGTGTATCATCATTCCCAGTATAATTACTGAAAATAAGCGAGAACAGTTTGTGGCAAAGCCAGTTTATTAGGTCTCTGGGACTGTGTCTTGTTCTCCCCCTCCCCCCCAACACATACAAAATAACTCAACTTTACAATTTGGTAAAGTGAAAATACATATACAAAGTATTCAGTACTTTTGACATCAATTTTGTGGGCAGAACATTACCGCTGCGAGCCAGGAAGCGTACTGAATCCTGCATTAGTGACCACATTACCTTTAAGGCAAAACCATTAAAACATGCTTTGTGCTGAAGACAAAATTACATACTTAAACATTGTTTCCACACAATTTTAATGACACAAGGGCCCTTATTTACAGATTGTGTATAATTCAAATAAAGCTTAACGGATTTGCAGATGTCAGATATCAGATTTAACAGTAACATTGTAGCTACGTCCTTTCCCTACCTCAACCCCCAACCTGACTGACTGACTTGAGAATTCTTCATTCATTATTTTATTAAAAAAAAAAATGATTGCTGACATACTTATTATACACATAGTTAAGATGAATCCTTCTGAGTAAAAGATTTAAGGACATAAGTGAAAAACAAATTGTCCAAGAGGACTGTAAACCATATTTATTTACAATAGTATACACATAAATTTAAGACAAATCTTTTTCTTAAAAAATCATTAAGGACACTAGTGTTAGAAAGGTGATTGTTTCTGAAAGGACTGTAACCCAAATTCTAGTCATGTAGCGTTCAGAGCAAATACAAAAGTTCCCTTTTACAAATGTTTCCTAAACAAAATTAATGTCACAGTTGTAGCAGCTTTATGTAGGAAAAAAAAATATTACCTCTCTGTTTAGATTCTGTTTTAAACTTCTTAATCATATTAGACCCGATTGAATGCTCTTTTTAAATCTAGAAAAAAAGTCACTGCATTTTTCTTTTGTCAGTATAACTTCGAATAGAATTGCATCTTATTCATTGCAATAGTTTAAACAGTATTAGTTATCTTGTTTCAATAATTTGTTTCTAACGTGATCACTGGAGGGCCATTCTTCCATTGAGTTTCCAATCAGCATCACACGCTACAATTGCAAATCAAAAATCCTCATTTATACTTCATTTCCTTGAAAAACTAAGTCACGAAACACTGTTTGACACAGCATGCGAACGAAGTCATAGACTGCATTCTACGGCTTACATTTCGCTTTATGCAATTACGTGCAACCTAGCACCATTTTTACTACGAAACTTGATTTTCAGACAAGTGGAATAAACCGGTTGTAGTTATGAGAACACAGAAGAAGGTGATTCTAGAGGAGTAAATTCCCTCACCTGACCCAACACATTCCTAAGTCGCATTAGCAATGCCAAGGATGGCCCACGTAGAGCTGAGACACTGCACAAGCAGGTTTCAGCTCAAAAATCTCTAAGAGATGCTGTACTTGGCAGATTTTTCTCCGTATTTCAAGATCTAATTTATTTTGTACTGGGAAAGTATTTCAAGGCAGTCTCATATTCCTAACATTTTGTCCTAAGCATTTCCATCCCTAAAATATCTTACCACATTGGCTGTAAAAAGCATTTCTCATCACTAAAACCCTGACATCCCCGTCTTTGGAAACTGGCCTGCTTTTGCCATCTTCCCTCAATCTTTTATTTACTTAAGTGTTTTTACTTACCCTGGGGCACTCAGCTTTCAAATATGGCATCTTTAGAAACAAGTCCTCATTAAGTTTTAGTAAGGTCAGAGAAGTTAGGGTTTAGAGTCCCAAATTTACTCCAAATGCTGTGCTACAGTACTTTCCAGAAGGAGGAATGCATAGTTTAGTTTTTACATGCTGATTATGAAAAAATAACAAAGTTTTAAGTATCAAATAATTGCCTGGAGGTAGGGAAAAGTTTGCCAACTCTCTTACCATGGCCATGAAGAAACAGACAAAGTATAGGGTGGAATGACAGGCCACAAGCCAGCAATTTGCACCTATGCTGACAGCCCGAGCTTTATCCCACAGTCCTGGGTTTTGTTTTTTCAAATGAAAAGGAGCTTGCTTAGAAATTTGCTAGCACTCACCAAATATTCCTTTACATGCCCAAAATCTCACCGACTGACCCAAAAATCGAGCTACTTGGCTGTCACAAAACACTTTTTCTCCTACATTATTCCAGTGTGAGCAGCAACCAAAAATGTTAGTAAACTGGCTTATTATTTATAGCCTCACCACAAGTGATGAAAACAATTTCAGGCAGCAAGAGCTCAAGTAGAATTACTTGGTTAAAACTTCACTTGAATGTTTACGTTCCTGTATATTTATAGTGAAACTGGACTAATTTAGAAACTACAGTTACAAAGTGCAAGAACATGAGATGGACACACCTACACTAGAAATTAAAAAAAAACAAAACCCACATTAAAGTGCCAAAGAAGTTCGCTATAATTGCTACCAAAACCTGGAACTTTGCCAAGATCATAATTCTGAAGCACTTGCAAACACGACAAGGTGAGAACTGACGTAACGACAGGATTTAACACCAGCAGGTCATGGCAGGTTTTGGTTCCGGCTTTATATGTATTTCATCGCGATCTGGGGGTTGACTGAGCATTAATGGCTTGTGACTTTTAAGCTTGTGAGCCAGTGTCATAAAAATGGCCTCCACGTGGTCATTGTCATTGGGGTTTTTGGCAGAGGTTTCAAACAACGGCATACTGTGAGTATCGGCAAACTTCTGGGCCAAGTCCGTCGGCACCTGAATAGCGCTCCTCAGGTCGCATTTGTTTCCGACCAGAATCCGCGGTATGTCGTTGGCAAGGAGGTGCTGTTTGCACTCCTCAATCCACAAGGGCAGACTGTGGAAGCTGGCAATGTTTGTCATGTCGTACACAAACACGACGGCGTGGACGTTCCGGTAGTAGTGCTGCACCATGCTCTTTCTGAAGCGCTCCTGGCCTGCCGTATCCCAGAGCTGGATCTGGAAAGGGAAAGGCAACGGGAGAAGAAGAAAGGGTTTGTTACTGATGCTGGAAGGGAATACAAATCGTCTGTAGCTACGGGAGTCACGCGCTCATAGAAATCCACTTCTCTGAACTTAGCATACTGAAGAAGTTTGTGCTGAAGAAAAATGTTGCTTTTACACAATTTCTGAAACCTTTGCTTTCAAAGCTGCTCACAGTTGAAGCCAGGAAGAAATGACGATGCAACTTGATCAGAAATACAAATGTCTACGAGTTTATTGGAGCAGGTATTTTGTAAAACTTTTACCAAAAAAATAAATAATCCTTGGCAAAAACTCAATACGTATTTTGCAGTGCAGCTCTCAGCTGACATGATGTTTTATCACCAAAAATATCATCACCTTCCTCAAAATTTCACTCTTAATATGAAGTTAACTGCCTACTATGGCACTATAAAAAAGTAGGAAGAAATCACACCATTCATGAATAACAAACACATATAAAGAAACCTTTCTCTGCAGTTTACTTATTGGAATCAAACCCTTGTGTGAAGAAGGTTTAACTTAAGCTTATTTAGTGCTTCAACTAGGACCGTACTGTGGTTTGCAGTATCAAAGCACATATAAAAGAAAAAAGTAAATAAATGCAGAAACCCCGTTAGTTTAACATGCTGCTGTTGTTTCCAGGTACGTATCATTCTATCCCAAGCAGACTGAACATATTGGTTTGAAACGTAGTCAGTGTAAGGGACAAAAGAACATTCAGAAGAACTGAAATGTTTTCAGACTTCTCAGGTCTAGATTAAAACAAAACAAAAAAACCCAAACGAAAACCAAGTCTTGAGGCACAAGCAGATGTAAGCAACAGCTAATAATACACTTAATCATCCTTGTATGATGGAAGCCAGGAGCCCTGAGACATGGAGAGTTCATTGCAGAGCGGTGCATTTACTGGATACAGTGCTATCTCAACAAACTTGCTCTCCAGGAGACGTGGGACTGCACCTCACAGCGGTCAGAGCCAGCTCACCTACATCTCTAGACGAACTGCACGCTGTAAGAAAAGAACTAGCGTATGGATCTGTCACACACACCTCAGTGATGGTGTCAACACCAAAAGACAACATTGGATTTCTGGGGTCAAAGCCAAGTCCCAGCTTCCTCTCTGTCCTGTACGGTTGATGTGTGACAGCTGAGGTAGAACGATTAGTACTTCAGCTTTTAACTTCTGAAAAGGGAGTGTCAAAAATAAATGCTTCCTCCCTGGGAATGAAAGGAAAGTTTTTCTTCAGATTCAGAATTCAAGGAATAATAAATGTTCTGTAAACAATGAGGGTAAATTTAAAATTCAATCTGTTCCCATGACAGGTACAGCCTATTCCTTCCCTTGATGAAATTGTTCTCCTGTCACCATAGTTCTGCATCCCTTTGATCCAAGTGTTTCAGTAAACTTATTTAGAAATTGCAAATGTCTTGAAAGTTGCCTTGTTTACCATTTTCACCAGTGAGTTTGATAATTAAAAAAAGGAAACAGAAGTCGCCAGGGAGATTTACTGATGGCAAAAAGCTAAAATGCGTCGCTGATAGAGAGGAGGATTACAGTATCACAAAAAGTTTTTGAAAGCTGAGACAGCAGAAATAGGGTGAAACTGAACAGAAGCAGATGCAAAGTCTTGATGTAAGTGAAGGAGTCATTAATTTGGAAATTATTAAAGTAGATTACAATTCAGATACATGAGTATATCACAAGACATTATGAATCACTGGTGTGATAAAGAGCAAGTGATGTTCCAGGATGGTGTGGCTTTTCCTGCAATATCATCTTCAGCCCTGGTCACCTGTCCTCAAGAAAAACTCAGATTGGAGCAGGCGGAATGGAAGTTACTGGTTTCATCAGGGGAACTGAGAATTTACATGAGAAAGTCTGAAGAGCTTGGCTTCTGTAGTCTAGTCCAGTTACGTGCAGCTTCTGATCCACAGCTTCTAAAAGGGTCACTAAGATAATCAGGAAAGGCGAGGCGAGTCGCCCCAGCCTCTGATCGCAGGGAACGGTCCTCAGTTGCAACCCATCTCATTTAAAGCAAATGCCCACTCTTTTTGTCAATGGCATCACACTCTAACCATGAATGACTGCATCTCCACGGTCTGTTAAGGGAATCTAGACAGTCTGATTAAATACAGGTGCCTTAGTTTGGGTGAGATTCATTCACGTACCCAGATGAGAGATACTCCTAGTTCTATGTACTTATAAAACATTATAAAGTCAGGAGAGTCATAGAAACTTTTCATTAATTTGGAATTTGAAAAATTAGAGAGAAGAAAGCAGCACAGATTGAAATAATCCCTATGTTCAGACAATATCAAGTCAAGGCATAGCTATAAGTAATCTCAGCAAATGCTACACCAAATTAATTTAAAGAGGGAGCTCATTTTCACAGGTAGCTGTGAGCTTACACTTCTCTCCCCATCTCATTCATAGAGTAGACATCAGTCATGCTTCAGTCTAGAACAGATCCACATCTGTACTGTGAGACTTGGTAGAGAAGAGAAAATTAAACGGAAGTTTTATGCATCTTTGAAGTTAAGCTTAAACTACGGTTCCTCCTACATTTTATTTACATCCATCTTTCAAGCTTGGAGGGCATTACCTCAAATTAAAAATGTTAATATTCTTGGCACGGAACCATTTGCACCAAGAGGCAAATCCTTCCCCAAGACTGAAAATATCACAGTTTAGAAGATTCTTTTTTTTTTCCTCTTACCACGTGAATTTCAGGAGACATTCCATTTCTGCCCCCCTGCCAAATATTTGCTCTTCTGAAAAACAACACTGAAAACGTTCACATTAATAGATGTGCATTGAAGAATTAACATTAAAATCACTGCTTCACTATTAATTCAGTGCCATCCATCTTCAAGGGAGCACATTTTTTATAACAGCCCTTTCAACTATGAGATTTGAAAATTTGGGTTAACAGCATAATCCAGCTAATAAAATTGTGGAGAGAATCACTGCCAAGGAAAGACAAATAGTACTTAAATATACTGACTCAGCTATCACCTCCCACCTTCCGACTCCTTTTTGTGGATCCAGAAAAGCTGTTTTCTAAACAAGGACTCCTTTAGCATGTATGGTTTATAATATGCTGGTACAAACACAACTGGCCTTCAATAAGAACCAAATGGTAAACTAAGTCTCCCTTTACAGGATGTGGGGAAAAAACTCGAAGAGCTCAAATGTATAGAACATAACGTTTGGACTTTCTTTGAATTTCTTTTGCATCCTTTGCTCCTTTCATGTAGGTCAGTCAAGAGTGACATCATTGTTTTCTTCGATTTTCAACGCTTAGATTGGTTTAGGAAGAGGAAAATTTAGAATACAAAAAAAATCGTTTGCTGAAAATTTTAATTTATTCAACACATCCAGGCACAGGAGTTTCATACCAAGCTGTTAGCCTACGTACAAGCTACACTTGTCCCTATGTCTTGGGATTCTATGCAATTCCTGTGTCCGAGACCCCTGGGTGAGAAGAACTGTGCTTGTGTTCCTGCGAATGACACAGCATTTTTCCAGCTGCAAGAGAAACGCTCGGTACTGTAGCAGCACAAGAATGACCATCCAGCTGGCTGGGGGAAGGGAGAACAGAGAAAGAGAAGATGCTCCTTTATAACCTCCTTCAACACAAGAGGAAAAATCTCTCCACTCGGCAAGCCCTTCAGGGCACAGCAAGAACAGCAGTAATTCGGTTCACCCAAGCTTCTCTCTCCTTGTTCATTGCTGGAGCTTGCTGCTACAGAAAAGAAAGGTGAAGATGAGTGAGACAAGGAGGTAAAACCCGAAAATGGGTACCTATCTGATGACACTCAGCATTCCCCTAAGAGCTACAGCCTTAATAATGATAAAGTTAATTCCTTTTTAAGCTGAAACTAAACTTCTCAGAAAATACCATGTCCCAAAAGATGCTCCTTCAGCTCTCCACAGCTCTCAAATAGAAATGGTACCTTCAAAAGGTAATATTCTCAAGAACACAGCAAACAACCTACCACAACACGTATAACCTATGGCACAATAACCTAGGCAAAGCACCTCAGAACTGTCAATTAGTCTATATTTTTCTTCGCTTCTCTCCAACAAAGGCTGGGCATAATCCAGAGGAGATGAAAATGCCGGTCAATAAGACGGTGCTGACAAGAAGATATTCCTCAGGACGTTCTCTCCTCTGACACGGACAGCAAGAGATCAGGGAGTAGAGAATTTCAGCTAAAGTGCTATTCAGTGGTTTTATAAAGAAAAAGAGTAACACTCTTACTAATTTTAGTCTTTTAGTCAAAAAGAAGTGGCGAAAAGAAGGAAAGCAAACGGACTTACACATAATTTGCAACCTCTTTAAATCAGTAAGTAAGGAAAAAAAACTGTAGCTTTCAGCTACATGCCTGTAATTACAAAACCTGGTGATAATAAATGCTAAAGTACAATTCCAAGACTAATGTTACCGCCTTTTTCTACACAGTACTACATTTTGCTCCTAGAAACAAACTGTAATAGAGAAGTAGAAGGGGAGTCAGTTTAAAACCCTGTTACCCCCAGTAAACAAACTGCATCTGTAAGCAGCTAGTAGTTTAGTCTGCAAATAGCTACTAGGATTACCACTAGCATTTATGTACCTACATGGCAGACCCGTTGTGTTTCACATACTTTAAAAATTTGCTATATAGCGCAAAGAAGACAAAAGTGCATTTTTTTCCTCTCATCTAATTTTTCAATAAATTTCCTTTTGTAAGACTAAGCTTTACCTAAATCTATAATCAGCATAAAAACCATTAGTCAGATGTGAGCTAGATATCCAGCCTCTTAATGTCCAGTTCTCCAGCACACTTGCATAAACTTGCAGCAATCTTAACATAATTCTTAAGAAAAATATATTAAAAGTTGTAACACATTGCTATCACTGATAGAGCAGTTCATCCCTGAACAATGCTCACTTTCTTAACGGGGCAGTTTTAAAGCAAAATGCTCA